TCCCTGCATAAGCCCCAGGTTTCAAACAGCCAACTCATGCAATGAGCAAAGGACCCTCTACCACTGCCTAGATGCCTCCCAAACAGATCAAGCCAATCAACTGTCTCAACTATTCAGAGGGCCTGATTCAGTTGGGGGCCCCTCAGCCTTTGGTTCATAGTTCATGTGTTTCCATTCATTTGGCTATTTGTCCCTGTGCTTTATTCAACCTTGGTTTCAACAATTTTTGCACAAATAAACCCTCCTCTTTCTTGCTAATTAGACTCCCGGAGCTCCACCTGGGGCCTAGCCGTGGATCTTTGTATGGGCTGGGATTTTCTTTTTGTGTAAAGAATATTAGGGGATAGTTGTTGAAAGCTGAAAAGGAGCTATAGTTTTTTGGGGTTTTTTTTTTATCATTTTTTAAACCGTTCTTGACATTGATGATGGTATTAGGTTATACATAAAATATAATTAGGAAATAAAAATATATATGTACACATAGACATGTTCAAGCGTAGGATGGGGAGATGAGAGAACAAGAAGGCAACTGTAACTTCGTAAATATGGAAGGAAGGTCTGTGGTAATTCTTTTGCAGCCTTTTTTAAAATTATGTTCTGGATTATGATCAAAGAAAGTTTCAAATATTCTACTTTATCAAGTGAAAGTTTTTAGATATTCATCAGAGTATTGTAATAGATTTGCCTATTTAGCTAGAGTTGCAGGTGTGTATAGTCCAACTATGAGGAATTTAAAATTAAGCCAGCTTTCCCACTATAGTCTGTATCCTAAATATTATCTGACAGAGTAGTCATAGTTCAACAAAAGCACTTTTTACATATGTCAAAGGAGGTCTTTATGTGTTTCTTCTCATAGGGAAAAGAAACATGGAAATGACAGTGGTAGGAAAGTCACCATTTTTAATTAACTTTTTCCTTGAAGAGACAACTGTCACCTGATACGTGATATCAGAAGATTTGTTTTTATTTCTGTATGCTCTTGCCTGTATAATGAAAGGCAATCATTTTCTGAGATGTAGAATTGATGTAGATTTCCCCAAAGCTTTATCAAACTTATTAATAGATAATATAAATTGATAAGCATGGCTCCCTATTTTTCTGTGTTTAATTCAGACTTTTTTCTGTCACTCTTCAAGTTCTATATAATATCTTTTCTTTTTGTAAAAGTCAAATTTCTCTAAAATATTTTCCATGTACTTTCATATTGGTATTTGCTCTCTAATTTCCTCTGCTATTTTAAACACTCTCTTCTTTAATAGCAGTTACCACTCCCTCTTCTCCCAGGTTTGTTAGACACAGAAGTCTCTAGTGTTTCTATGTGCAGGACCAGCCTGTGGCAGCATCCTCTGTGCCAAACATTTGCATACATAAGTTTTCAAGTGCCCCGTGTTCGTTCGTTCATTCATTCATTTGTTCGTTCGTTCCTTCCTTCCTTTGTTCCTTCGTTCATTCCTTCCTTCCTTTCTTTCATTTTTCATATGGGTATTTTGCCTACATGACATGTATATCTTTATATGATTTGTGTGCCTTGTACCCACAGAAACTAGAGGGGACTAGATTCCTTAAAACTGTGGTTACAGTTGCACAACTGGAGTTACGGAGGGTTATGGGCATGTGGGTGCTAGGAATTGAACTCTGGTCTCCTGGAGGAGCAGCCGGTGCTGCTAACTGCTGATCCATCTCACTAGCCCTGCAAGCTTGTTTATTTAGAGCAGTGGTTTTCAACTTTCCAAATGCTGCAACACTTTTCACACAGTTCCTCATGTTGTGATGACCCCCCCCAACCATAAAATTATTTTATTGCTATATCATAACTGTAACCTTGCTACTGTTGTGGTTGTGCATTACCAGTAACTACATTTTTTACTTTAGTGAAAGTTTTTGTTTTGTTTGTCAGAAAAGATGGTGTAAAAGCAAAAATGAAAAGTTTATTTACAATAAGGTGTAATCTTGGGTGACTTATAGATTTGTAATACATTGACTTGGACTAGGAACATAGCTCAGTAGTAAAATGCTTTCCTAACATTTGCAAAACCATGGGCTCTGTTGCTAGGACCACAACACACACACACACACACACACACACACACACACACACACACACACACACACACACCATGCATACTCTTGCATGGACACTCATACAAATGCATATGTGCATGCACGTGCACACTCATACAAACATGCACTCACATGCCTATTCCTTTTTATTATTTTTAAGGAAGAAGCATATTCTGTATGTAACTTCCTCCAGTTACATTTGCTGTTTCTATTCCTACAGTTCTCAACTACAGTGCTGTAATTTTACTTTTTGTACATTTTGTTGTTGGTATGTAGTCACAAAAAGATTAGTTTTTCCCAGTTCCTTTAGTAACAGTCCTTCTCTGGCAGCCCAAAAAGAACTGTTCTGGGTGGTGAATGAAATTATATTGGGCTGGTTCATGCTTCTCTTATGTGGGAAGTACTACAGAGAAAAAAATGCTAATGCTTTCTCTTAAGAAAGAAGTTAAATCCTAAGTATTTATTTATAAGTCCTGGTTGCTTCTTGTTAAAACAAACAAACAACAACAACAACAAAAAAAAACCTAATGTGATTGTTCCCTTGCACCAGTTTTTGGTGTGATTACACTGCAAAGTTAGTGTCCATTTGTACACTTAGACAATCAGTTCCATCCTAACTGTCACCAAGTAAGTGATATCCCACTGGCCTAGCACTAAAACATTCTATTTGGAGGTAGAGAAGGAAGATATCAGGGCTGCCAGTTAACAAGTAATTCATACTGGAAGATATATTTAGACAAGACAGGAATCTTAGTTGCATGCATAATATATATCTAGAGGTATTACCTGTATATTCACCTTGATTTGGTAAGACAGTGTAGGTAGTTTCCATTCCAGCATGAACATGGTCAGTCACGTGGCAGTGGAGTAACCAGGTTCCAGGTGTTTGGGGGAACATTTCTAGGGTTTGGTATGTTCCGGGGAAAAGGTCAAAGACATCAGAACTGTAAATTCCCCTGTGCTTTATTAGAAAAAATGACAAATATTAGAGTTTATTCAGTAGCCTTTCATTGGCCAGCTCCAGTGAAAAAGCAGAAACATTTTTTAAAAAAATGAATCCCTCTATATTTTATGTAGTGAAATCTGTAATCCTTGTCTAAAACCTCAGCTCTCTGGGCCATCAAGGAAAAAGTGAAGTAGGCATTTATTAGTCAGGACGGCTATGTCTAACACCACGATTCTGGCTTGCCTCTTTTTCAGAGACTTGAGCTACACAAAACAACCAAGCTGTGGTGTCACCAGTGCTTGGATCAATTATAGTCTCTCTTGCTTGTGAAACTGTCAGGCAAAGAGAGTATAAAAGAAGCAGAAAAGGATGCTGATAGAATTTAAATAATATTGACAATTCAAGTATTCTTGACTCCCATCACTGGCATATTTCTATGAAAATAATACTGAAAGCTCATTAATGATATATGTGCAGAAAACTACAGATTATACAGTGGACATTCTGCAATGTGTCCCCCCCTTTTTTTTTTTTTTTTTGGTTTGTTGAGACAGGGGTTCTCTGTGTAACAGTCCTGGCTGTCCTGGAACTTGCTTTGTAGACCAGGCTGGCCTTGAAATCACATAGATCCACCTGCCTCTGCCTCCCAAGTGTTGGGATTAAAAGTGTGCACCACCACTGCTTGGCAGCCTATGCATTTTCTACATTAGTTTAAAAATGGAAAAATGCATCTTCAAGAGGACCGTTGTTTTCACTAGATAAAGGGTAGTAGTTCTAGGGATGTTAGTTGCTTGACACCTAAGTGTTAATTCACCTCACACAGTTTAAGAGTGAACTTGGAATGATCAGGGCTACAGTGAAAGACTTCTGATCTCTGCTGCCTGGTCCACCCTTATGTGAACACTCCTGCCAGCTCTGACTGTCAGCCATTCCATTCAGATGCCTTAGAATTGTGTGAGCAGAACTAAGAAAGACAGAAAAACCTGCAAGTGTAAGGATGAGCCCAAGATGTGAGCAGGCTGGTGTAGCAGTGAGACTGCAATGTTGTTTCTTTTTCATAGGTATCTCTGATGAAATGTATTCTTGGCTTAAATTAAAAGGTATTAAGCAGAACAAAAATGACTACTGTGTGTGTCTCTTACCTTGTATTGGAAGCTGTGGCCATGAAAGTGTACGGTGTGCAAGTCTATTTCATTGCCCATTCCCATCACATACCAATTGACTTCATCTCCTACGTGCATTGTGAGGCCTTGTAGGTTTCCAAACATTTTTCCATTAATAGCTGAGGAAAATTTGATACATTTCAGAATAGTTTAAACCTATAATGGCTTCATAGGAATTATTACTAGGTCCATATAACAGAGCTTACCTCACTATAGATGGGGAAGACAGATCTTTCAAGTTCACCAATATCACTGCTATTTCTCAAGTTACTTTATATGAAGAGCCTTAATCTTTTTTTTTTTTTTTTTTTTTTTTTGGTTTTTTTTCGAGACAGGGTTTCTCTGTGTAGCTTTGCGCCTTTCCTGGAGCTCACTTGGTAGCCCAGGCTGGCCTCGAACTCACAGAGATCCGCCTGGCTCTGCCTCCCGAGTGCTGGGATTAAAGGCGTGCGCCACCACGCCCGGCAAAGAGCCTTAATCTTAATTGTGAACTTATTTAAAAGGGAATGAGGGTTTAGAATTGGGGGAGGAATTAAACATAGTCTTATTTTGGTTTTGAGCAAAATTTTACATTATAATATATTTAAATAAAACAGCCCTACAACATGATTTTCTTAGAAGAAAGGGGTAAAAAAAAGTGGTTTAGAATCGTTTCTCATACCATGCATTTTATTGCTTTCTATGAATTCCTCATCATCTTTGTTTACTTTCTCAGGATGATCAGAGTATATTTTGATGTTGTCATCTAAGTACCAAGATTCATTCTCATCAAATATTAGAAACAAAAGGAAAAACTCCATTTTTTTTATAGGATTGAATACTTTCATGTAAGATTTCCGACAAACAACCAGTGGGCCTATTAGTCCGCTATAGAGATCCTGAAAACAAGAAGAAAGTGCAGTTATCTTGGAAGTGTTGGTCAGGATTTCAGAGAGCTGGGACCTTATCACTCACAATTCCAGCAGTTTTGGAGGGACTGGTTTTAGTGGGATACCTAAGGCAAAGGGAAGCCACCACTGTAGTATCCTCATACTTGACATGGTTAAGTGGAAGCAATGACAAATAGTAGGTAGGTTATGTAGCTGATGTGGAACTTAGAGAGATTAAAAAAAAATGGCTTAACTCACGAGCTACCTGAATGAACAGTGTTGGTTGTTAATTGTATTAAGCTTGTGGACTTATCAGGATGAGCCAAGCATTATGCCAGTCACTATAAACCCACGACTGAATGAAACAAAACCTTTTGCTGTAGGAGCTCATATAGGAATAAAAGAAATGAGTAGAAGCTAAGGAAATTGTCCATTGTCATGAAGAAACAGAATGCTAATGAATACCCCTGTGAAATACCACAATTAACAACTCTTAAACATCTGAGAAGTTTGGTGTGGCCAGGTGCTAGTGATGGCAGATTTTGTCTTACATCATATTAGTGAAATTCAGGCAGTGTCATAAGTAACCCCTGAAACATTGGACAGAGAACAACAGCAAATCTACATCTTAGTCCAGTTATATTGGTTGATTGAAAGAAGACTGGGGCCTGGGAGGCAGCAGTTGAGACAAATTACACGTACGGAAGTGTGAAAATGGAGAGGAGTGGGCTGAGTAATTGTAGGGGCACATAATCTGTGTAAGAAGAGTGTTCAAAGTTCCTACTTGAGAATGGATAGAGCAGCACTTACGCTGCTGGTTTTTGTTTGTTTGTTTGCTTGTTTTTATAACAGGAAACGAAGGAGGAAGAAGACCCCTTTAGTAGTGTCCCTTTTAGAAGGTGCTAGGTTTTAAGTCTGGGAATTTCTGGTAGAGCAGCCCAACATGCATCTGCATTGACATATTGGGAACTCAGAAGGGATTCTGATGAAGATTTTGTTCTGCAGAATGATGTACCATCTCACTTGAGAGGGCTGTTGGAAGATTTTTGGCTTTGTGATATTTTATCAGACAATACCTACTGTTCTGATTGCCTGTTGGGATTGCTCATCAACAAAGAATTCTGAAGCCACACATCTTAGTTTTTGCATTTAATATGTTTTCAGATCAAAAGAAAAATAAAATACACTGGCTTGCAATTTTTATTAAGTATTATCAATAATCAGCAGGAATAAGATAATTATAACTATATGTTTAAAAGTACACAAACTGAAAATGTAAAAGAAATAGATTACAGAGCAACTTATTTTCCTGGTATTTTGACATAGGTTTGAGGACAGGAAAACTCTATGTTCTTGCAATTGTCTCTCTATCTAGAGAATTCTGAAGAACAAATGGTTAACATTTACCTTAACTCGATCCACAGTTGAGTAGTAAGCCCATGGTATACAAGGGGCATCCTCTGCTCCAGCGCCTGATCTCTCTGGGATTTGCCATATATAAATGCGAATTTCACCTAAATTAAGCAAGGGTTACATGTCTGGTTATATTTGGCTTATATCTGACACGCATATGTGTTTCATGTGCATATACATTTTATATACACATATCTTTGATAACTAGTGATCCAGAAAGTAAAAATATTAACATGTTAAAAAATAATAGTACTCAAAATTCTTCCATGAATTTAGTTTTTTTTAATTTTATAGTGAGTGTTTGTGTGGGGGGGGGGCATGTATGTGCATGCAAGGGAGCACATACACCATAACACACATGAGAGTTGGGATAGTTTGTGACAGTGGGTTATGGAGATGGAGCTTGAGTTATCAGGCTAAGCATCTTTACACACTGAACCACATTGATGACCCTGGAGTTTAGTTCTAAGACACACTAAGATATTTTTATGTCATCATATATTTACTATGAATTAAGCAGCTCTCATTCACTTGTCATAACAAAGCCAGAGAGGATCATTCTAATGCCATATTTTGAAGAAACTGAGTGGATCCATCTTTTCTTACTCTAAAGTAGGTTTTATTAATATCTTTCTTTTTTACAGATACCATGTGGTACCTCAGCACCTCACTCATGGTGTTTCTGTACAGATGTTGCCCTGTAGAATGAGCTTCACTTTCCCTTTCTTTCCTACTTCCTTCTCACTATCCTACTCAGTGAGCTGATGATTCCTGCAAGGAGCCATGAGAGCACTTGATCTTAAAGATCCCCGATTTCTCTCATCTGTCGACTTCTTATGTTGTTATCTGATTCTGTCATACCATGTGCTTCTTTGTCACTCTTCTGTCACATGCAAGACATATACTTGTCCTTGATGCTTTGAAGATAGTTACTACATCCTCTTACTTTGTCATGTACTCTCTTCCCATGAGCTCCTGGCTCTTCTCCAATCTAACCTTTTCCATTTGCCTCAGAACTTCCTATATATCTATCCACAGACCTTGACTTACTGATCCTGACAACCCTCTGTCCGATTTGTTTAGATTCACCTTGCCGTTTCCTGCAAAGATAGTGCTATCAAATTAATACTCTGGAGTCTGGAATCCTTTACTGGGGAATCAAGCAAGAATTGAGTTCTGATCTTAAGGGAAGTGTGGGCTTCCCCCCTTTTCTCAAGTCATCACTTTTAGTCCCAGTGTCCTCATACCTTAACTAAGCAGACATTTTCACCAAGAACATAAAATGTAAATGCAGCAGCTCATTGTCTCACTTCTGCCAACCACTCTTATTTCCATAAGCTGTTCTTCCAGCCTGCTCTGTCAACAGGGATTGATTCCCAAAGCTTTAGAGTCACCCTTGACTCCTTCCATAAGACTCTAGTGCTCAATTTTCAGCAGGCCCTTTTGGTATCATGTTAAAGTAGAATTGCAGTATGAGAACTTCTTACCTCTTCCTCTGCTTAGTCCCATGCCAAATCTTGCTAATTCTAATTCTGGTAATTTTGTTTCACCTGTTTAGTGCAGAATTTCCCTAACTGATCTTTAATGTTGCCATTTTTCTCCCTTACTCATATGTCATCCAGAAGAGCCTCTTATTGATAATCAGATAAATCCCATTTAGCTCAGATCCTCAGTTGAGTGTTCAGTTTAAAATCTTGAGTCCTAATCATAGCCTTCCAGGCCCTTACTCCATCCAGTTCCTTTATCTCTGGTTCCCATCTGTTAACATTCTGTTCCCTCTTCACTTTGCTTTCATGTCTGGACTCCTTACCATCTATACAAGACACAAAGCATGCTCCCACATGAAGCCCTAGAATCTTACCCCACAATTAGCCTGAGCTGCACCTCCCTTATCATTTGTCTTCACCAATGTCCAGCCCTACTGACTCTCCTACCTAAAATAACCATTTATTCTCTGATGAGTCTTTTTCATAGCCTTGTTTATGACTCAATATTATCTATGTTTTTCTCTCTTAGAAGATCAAGAGAGAAGTTTTGCTCTATTTTCTCTTAAATTTATAAAAGTAATTCTACAGAACACTACCTTTTTTGTTTGCTTGTTTGATATATTTGGAAACTGCTAAGTTTTTAAAACAAATCCTTTTTCCTGTAAAATTTTAATTTCTACTTGAGTGTACATAATCTATCTCAATTTTTATCTTAATTGAACATCTGTTAAGCTCTTGGGACATGCCAGATACTAAAGCAAATACCCAGGCTTTGAATTCCAAACCACAGACATCATTTGACAGGCTGACACATGAACATTCTACCCCACAGTGTAGCAGATGCCACTTCAAATATGTTCTAGTTGAGTGGAGGAAGAATCTTTCTAGTCCACTCTTCCACCTTTGTAAATGTCTGGTACTTCCATGTTTGTTTTCACATCCCTTCTGTAAACTGTGTTTGGTGCAAACGTGCTTACACTCCATCACCCACACAGAGCTGGTCCCTGCATCCTCTGTCCCACCCTTGCTATTCCTTACAACATAGGCATTTAGAAAGACTATTCTTTACGGTAGCTGGCATTTGTGGAGTGGCTACAAAATCTGTATGAAGCATCCCTTTGCTCACAATACCTGGCAGTGTTGGAACAACTGTAGAATTCTCTGTTTTCACCCCATGGGCATGTATTGAATATGGCCTGGTTGCCATGTTTTTAAAGACAATTTTAACTTTGTCTCCAATATCTGCATGAATTTGTGGACCTGGTAAAAGTAAAAAGGAAAATCAATTTATTGTCTTGTGTTTTGAAATTTCTGTGTTAGTGATAAAGGCAAAATTCAGGTAACTTTTCAGTGTGAAGGATGGAGTCTTCTTTTACTCACATGTCTTTGAGCTGTTACAGTGATTTATTTCTGGTTCCAGAGGATGTGCATAACAACACTAGACAGAACTTCTCTAAATATGGGGACCATAGTGTATCTCTTAATCAGAGTTCCAGGAGACACTGTAGCCTGAAAACCCTCTGAGGGTCAGAGGTCTAACGGGGAGAGCTGGTGGCAGGCCAGGAGCTACTGTGCACTGCTTACTCTCTGGGTTCAGTGCTTGGACTTCTAGGCAAAGGGTTGTGCTGGGAATGACGAAGCTGGCCCTCTAGCTTCTGCCATTCAGCCAGCTGCAGCTGTTTCTTGTCACATGTGTTTCTGTTATTCTCAACAATGTCATTAGCTCTAGAGCAACAGTTCTCAATCTATGAGTCAGAACCTCTTTAGGGGTTAAATGACCCTTTTATGGGGGTCACACAAGACTAACAGAAAACACAAATATTTACTTTATGATTCATAAGAGTAGCAAGATTACAGTTATGAAGTAGCAATGAAATAATTTTATGGTTGGGAATCACAATGAGGGACTTTATGAAAGGGACGCAGTGTTAGGAAGGTTGAGAACCAACTGCTCTATCTCACTAGGGAAATTCTGATCCTGTGGAAGTACTGAAAGGCTAAGGAGTTCAGCATCTCAAGGGTTGCAGGTTACACATTCTGCCTGAGTGTGGTTCCTGAAAACTTGTAAGGAAGCACATTTTTTCAACCCCCATATATATCTTTATTTTGTGATTAATTATATCTTATTTTTTCAAGTAAAGAGTTGTACTTCTTTTTGGAGGGGGGTGTGTGATAACAAGGAGAATTTGGTTAAGGTTTTCATTAGAAAGTAATTTCTAAGAACTTCACCAAAGCTATAGGCATCATGTTAAAAAAATATTTTTGAGACAGGGTTTCTCTATGTAGCCTTGGCTGTCCTGGAACTCACTCTGTAGACTAGGTTAGCCTCAAACTCAGAGATCTGCCTGCCTCAGCCTCCAGACTACTGGAATTAAAGGCTTACACCACCACTGCCTGGCTCATTATAAGTAATTTAATTAGTGTATGGAATAATAAATTATTCCTGACAGAAATAAGTGATATTATCTGTATTCTTCAGCAAGCACAAACTTCTCCTTTTTTATTGGATGATTTAATGAAAGTAACTTTGATACATGAACTAGAAAATTACAATCTATATACATGGATGCATGTGCCACAGGCAGCTCTTGTTGCTAACCAAAGACTGGCAGGATGGGGCTGTTCACCTTACCTAGGATGCCCAAGTGCTCATCTTCAGCTTTTCTCTTCACCTGTTCTCTGAACGTGCTGTCAGTAAATTGCCGATACACAACTTTCTTGTACTTTGAGCCTATGTAAAATTCTTCCTTATCCAAAAATGCATTTGAAATACTAGAAAAGAAAATCGATGCAGGTTACTATTTGTTTTCATGAAAGAAAAGAAATTGTTTTAATTTTTGAGTAAAAATTCTTGTGAATAGTTATGCTCATTTAAAATTATTTTCCATCCTGGTAGGAAAAAATAGACTTTAAAGATATTGAGGTGTCATATAAAGAGAACTGTCTAGTGAGCTGCTTCAGTCCTGGCCCTGACTCTTGTCTAGCTAAGCTGACCTCTCAATCCATGTTGTCTGAAGAAGCCTTAGTTCCTATGCCCCTAAAGAGAGGCATTGATCAAATCACCTATCGCCATCACATTTTTTCACTCTAACATGTTATGAAATCCAGATACAATTATTTAGGAATTAATGCAGTATTTCTAGTCAATAGGAACTGAAGTAGCATATTTTTTTCAAGTCATTTTCTTTTTCTAAAGTTTTCGTTAACTCATGATTCCTTTTAACTACCTTATCCAAATCACAAAAGCAGCCTTTTAGTCCCTTTCTATGTCAGACCACACTCATCACTGAAACCAAACTGTCCAGCTAGCCACTGCCAGCCAGATCGTTAGTTTTCCTGGGCATCTTGGGCCTACCTGTCCCACAGCTCACCCTAGTCCTTCAGATCTTGTGCACATGAGGTCACATGTTGAAATGACATGATAGAGCAGGTGTGCCTGGGAAATTTTTTTAAAAATTGACACCTATAAGTATCAGGTGATGCCCCATGATGCTGAGACATGCTCTTGATGTTCTTGTGGCCATTCTTTACTTGGATTTACTCTTACTGATTTTTTTTTTAATTTTCACAGTGTGTCATAATGGCTTTGAACTACAAAAAACTACAGTTGAACACTTTGGGAATCTGAGACTGGAAAGTTACTTTTGTTCTTGCAAATGATGCAGTTCCTTTTCCCAGTCCCTGCTTGGTGAATAGTCCCATTCCACCTCCACTGCTGCGACATAGTAGGTCCTTTCTCCCAGGTAGACGGTGGACTCTTCAGATTGCTGCTTGCATTGGTTCACAGTATATTTTTGCTTCATGCCACCTGTGTAGTGATCTGTTGTAAGACACTCTACATCAAAAGTCCCTGGAGTAGCAAAATAGAAAACTTGTCAATTTTAACAGAAGTCTCTTTACTGCTCTAAGAACTATCGAGGGGCGTATATATCTCAGAGCATCTGCTATTCCCCCTGCCTGTAACTTAGCAGATGTGTACATAGCTTATGCTCTTATTTCATTCTGTCTCAAGAGAGAATATCTGTCACCTTTTTCTCTAGCTTTGGTTTTATTCATGGGCTTACAGTTACGTGATCTTGAGTGTCACACAGTGAATCAAGTGAGACCAGAAAGTGTTTTTCATGATATGATTAAATTTATTTCCTATTTGTTTTAATTTGATTTACCCATTGAGAACCAGGCCCACATATGTGTCTAAGCATACATGACTACAGTTTTTATATAGAATACCCAGTTACAAACAGTTAGTAAGCCAACTCCACAACAAAGCTGTAGCGACGTGATGAAAGCTTACATGTAGAGCACATGCAGGAGTAATTTCTTCTAGACTGTTTTTTTTAATCACAGTTATCTTTAAAAGGATAAAAAAGTAACCATCTCATAGATTCTGCTGTTTGAAACAAGGAAACACACACGCACACCACAGACTTTTTACTTATAGCCTCTTATTCCACCCATAAATAGGAAGGAGATCCACCTGATGTGTGCTTTAACATTAGTAACCCAGACACCCTCTTAAGGGAAGGTCTATCTTGGAGGCATTGAAAGAGTTCATCACTCGATATGTTTTTCAACAGGATTTTCAACCAAAGCCATATACATAAATTTATTGTCATGGCTAATTTTATGTCAGTTTGACACAGCTAGAGTCATCTGAAAGGAAGGAACCTCAATTGATGAACTGCCTCCATAGGATCCAGCTATAGGGTATTTTCTTAATTAGTGAGGGATGAGAGTGGTCCCAGCCCATTGTGGGTGGTGCCACGCCTGGGCTGGTGATATTAGGTTCTCTTAGAAAACAGGCTGAACAAGCCATGAGGAGCAAACTAGTAAGCAGCACTCCTCCATGCCCTCTGCATCAGCTCTTGTCCTGTTTGAGTTCCTGTGCTGACTTCCTTCAATAATGAACAGTGATACAGAAGTGTAAACCAATTAAACCCTTCCTTTGCTTTAGTCATGGTAGTCCATCACAGCAATCATAACCCTAACTAAGACATTGACCAATAAAAGAAGTGTACCTTCTGTGTCAGGCTGCATGAGAAGGGTCAGACTTGTATGAGGGAAGAGGTTTGCAGTGTCTCGTCTTTCTCCTTTAGACAGATAAGTGTTTCCTGAAAAGTATATTCCATGTACATCAGCTTCATTTCCAGCACTGAACAAATACCACACAATGGAATCTCCTAGACACATGTTGAGGCCAGGCTGATTGCCATACATGAATCCATTCATAGCTGCAAAATTTGGAGAAGGGAGAGAAGAAAAGGGGTTGAAGATAACATATCCTATTAAATGAAATGAAAATTCATTCCTAATGTAACTTCCTAATGTAAAGACACATTTCAAGCCTGCCCATTGTTTATGTGTCGGAAATGTCTTTGCTGTCTCCAGAGCAGCCTCTGGCTACAATGAGCAGGTCAGAGTTTGCAGAGCATGGAGTTCTGTGTCCCTACCACACTGGGGAGTTCGGTGTTTTCAGCTGGACTGAGATCCCAGGCGATTTTTTCTCACTTTTTTCAAATGTCATGTTTGTCAGCAACTATTTCTGTGAATTATAACAGCTTAGCCTGGGTGTCACACACTGGGAATGTATTTGTTGTTTTACATGAAAAATTTCCTGACTCGTCTTGGAAAATGGGGACAATCTTGTATAAGAAAATTTTTCTCACTACCATTTCCAAAAGATGATATTCTTGACATGTCCAAAATGTTAAATGTAGAATTTAAAGTAATATTATAAGGATTGTGGGTAATGTGAGTAGTATCATTCTATCTTCAAACAAACAAACAAATAAACAAGCAAACAAAAACAAAACCCAAATAACAAAAACTATTAATTTGTACTGCAACTTTACAATTTTTACTTTTACCACCTACACTAAATGTTTATGTTCTCTCTGAATGGTGTGGGTCTTTGGAACAATTAGTCCACCATGTCTCAAAACTAAACACATATAAATTAGCTAAAATATAAAAAATATCTGATGCTCCTCAAGTTTTAAATTTTGTCAGTTGATTCGGATGAGCAATCAAGTATGAAATCATGATGGCAGAGTTCATATTGTTAAATCATAATGGAAAAGTTCATATTTTTTAATAATTGAAAAAATAAAGGAGCCTGTTATTACTGTGCTACAAATGAGAACAGCATTTAACTCATTATTCTCAAAATGATCATGTCATCAATTAAAGGATTTGTGAAAAACAAATTCCTAGGACTTATTGCAGTGTTTATAATTTAGTAACTCAAAAGTGGGTCCAAGAATTTGTAGTTCTAACAAGGTCTTGGGCAAAGCCAAGGGACCACAAAGACACATTCAGGGGCCAGCAAGATGACTCAGCTGATAAAGGCACTTGCTGGGAATCCCACCAAAACCCAAATTCTGGGAAGAGAAAAGTGATATGTATGTTGTCCTGTGACCTTCACAGGCACCATGGCATGTGCCCTGCCTCCTTCCCCTCTAAATAAATAAACTTTTTTTTTTTTTTTTTTTTTTTTTTGGTTTTTCGAGACAGGGTTTCTCTGCGTAGCTTTGCGCCTTTCCTGGAGCTCACTTGGTAGCCCAGGCTGGCCTCGAACTCACAGAGATCCGCCTGGCTCTGCCTCCCGAGTGCTGGGATTAAAGGCGTGTGCCACCACCGCCCGGCTAATAAACATTTTTTTAAAAGGCACCTTCATCACATTGGCATGTCTGCTACATTTGGTTATTTTGAGGTGGGTTTTTTTGTTGTTTATAACCTAAGATTTTGCCTTCAGAACATTATTAAGTTGTTTATTGAAAAGTAATCAAAAAAAGCTGCTCACTTTGGGTTTATTTGGTACTGTTACATATACCACTGATATAGCCTGGGCAGGTGGAAAAGGTGCAGTACTCACAGTGCATCTTATTAGACTCCTGGAAGTCTTCGTCTTTCTTATCCACATGATCAGGTGCAGCTGTGAACATCCTGATATTATCATCCAAGAGTAAACTCTCATTCTCATCAAACACTGTGGGAAATAAGTAGAACTCCTTGTCTACATCCTTCTGCAAATCAAAATAACAATGAAGTGAAGATAAAGTGAGAAAAGCAAAAGATTTCTATACAAATAATACTCTGTGCACAAACCACTTTAAGGAATGTCAACAGAAGTTTCTGTGTCCCTTTAAAATTTGGTTCATGACTATTCCACTTGGCCACCAAAGTTTTCACTGGTATCTGTTGAGGACTTAGGGTTTAGTAAGGTAACCTGAGCCTCTTACATCTAAAATTTCTAATTTCCTTCTTCCTTCATGCTACATTGTCCATACAGATTGAAACCATTAAAACAATTTATTCAGATAGAGATGTGATTTAGATTTGAAATGTGCCCAAAGCTATGTGCCTAAAGGATTAATTCCCAGCTGATGGCATTATTGGGTGGTAATGAAGACTTTAGGTCGGGCCCAGTTGAAAGGACAATGTCACTTGGATTGTGCCATTGAATATGGTAGAATATCTCTCCTCCCTCCTTCCCCCACCTCTTCCCTTCTCCCTCCCTCTTTCCCTTGTCTCATGATATTGGATATCCTGAGAAAAAACAGGTTTTCTCAACCATATGCATGTCTGTTTCTCTACAGCCCCAAATGGAATGGAACTAGCTGACTGACAACCCTCTAAAATCAAGAGCCAAAATAGATCTGCAGTGATAAAAACTAATGTGGGAATATATGTGTGCTGGAATTGGGAAAGAAGCCTTCCATGTTCCTGAAACCAGTAAGAATTATAACCCACACAGATCATCTTTAGTGAGGAAATGGCATGGCAATGAGCTGGAAGAAGGATCCACACAATCTTCAGGTAGATTAAAACAAAAACAAATAAGGAAGTAGAAATATTATTGTTTTGGGGAATGGTCTAGTCATTCAGAAGACAATCAGTCCATGGAATCAAAGCAAATGAGCCATCAAGGAAGAGAATACTGAAGTCCTGCTTGTCTTTCTCTCATGATTCATTCAAGTGAACAATATGTTTATTAAAATAAAAAAGGCCAACTAAGATGCAAACTTGAAGGTTAGATCCTACAGAAAATTGCATCAGTGATGAAGGTTGTCTAGGGTGAATTTCTTGGTGATGTAACTACATTTATGCTACTCATACTTCTGTAAGTAACTCCAGTAAAGCTACTTGATTCCCGGAGCTAGACTTGTGTAGGATTACTTCTTTGGTCCATCAATGGCCTATCTGGGATGAACAGATACTTGTTCTTATTTCCATGGTAAAGTTCATAGTACAGTAGCCTAGACTACCCTCACATGTGGTCCTTGTTTGTTTGTTTGTTTTTTGTTTGTTTGTTTTATTGAGACAGGATTTCTGTGTAGCCTTGGCTATTCTGGAAGTCATTCTGTAGACCAAGCTGGCCTGGAACTCACAGAGATCCACCTGCCTCTGCTTCCCAAATTCTAGGATTAAAGGCACGTGCCATGATACCTGGCTAAATGTGGTCCTTTTCTTTCTCAAATACTGGGACTGCAGGTATGTGTCTCCATGCCAAGCTTAGGAGACCCTATCTTTATAATTCTGTTTGTTTGTTAGTTGGAAACAGGGTCTCATGTAGCTCAGAATTGCCTCATACTCTAAGTATCTGAGGATAGGCTTAAGCTCTTTATTTTCCTGCCTCTACTTCCCAAAGGCTGGGATTACAGGTTTGTAGGATCACATGGCAAGGGTCCCTTAGGTACAACATAAAATATTTTTCAGATTAAAAAACATTATGGGATGATAATGGTGAGTCAGGAGGTTATTTCTTATTGCTAATTTTATCACAGAAGACTATGCATTCCATTTATAATACAATTTCAGATCAACTTGCATTATTTCTACCAGAAAGAAAATGCATAATACATTTTTAGTGCATGATCTTACTGCAAAATCCAGAATAGTTTCATACTTTTGATACTCCTGCCTCATCTTGGTCTAGTGTTGAGATTACAAGTATGTACCACTATGGCCAACCATAATATAAATTTTATAAATCTGAGGAAAATTTAAAATAACACATATGCAAAATCTTCAGTGCCTTAAAGACCAGAATTCTCTTTACAGTGATAATTCAAAACAGATTGGGAGTCATTTTCAGTTTCCCCTGCCTGGGCTTACCTGTCTTCCATTTGTAAGTAAGCTACCTTTCTTGCATATTTTCATTGGCCCAATAAGCCCAGTAAATATATCTTTGGTGGGATCTACAGCAGAATAATACATCCTAGATAAGCACACAGGATCTGCATAAGTGGGTCCCATTTCTTTGGGAACAGTCCATTCATATGTAAAGGTTTCTTTGGGTGCTACATGGGAAGCTGCTTGAGGATGAGGCACACCTACAAGAAAGGTCACAGCAGAGAGGTTACATTTGTGTTTTCTAATGTGACTATTGAGCCACAGAGTAGGTTAAGTTTAGAAATACACTTCTAAGTTACTTGATCCCGATTAGAATAGAATCCCCCTTGTGCTGCCCTGTCAGGGTTGACACACTGGTGTGATAAACTTTTTTTTATATATATATTTTTTATTTTATTTTTTATTTTACAGTACTATTCAGTTCTACATAATAGCCACAGATTCCCTTGTTCTCTCCCTTCCTGCCCACCTCCCCTTCCTCCCAGCCCACCCCCAATTCCCACCTCCTCCAGATCAAGGTCTCCCCTGAGGACTGGGATCAACCTGATAGACTCAGTCCAGGCAGGTCCAGTCCCCTCCTCCCAGATTGAGCCAAGCGTCCCTG